CAAGGGTGACGAGACAGGACTGAGCAGGGCTGGCCAGTTAATGTTCAACTTTCCACCAGCACTGTTTGTACCCTTCTCAGACGGTGAGGACAGCTTTCGGGACCAGGAGGAGGAGGTGGAAGATGAGACGCAGGAGAGCCTCCACACCATGTCACCTCTCCACTTCACCAGAGTTTACTGTGACATTGAGACGGAGGCGGCGACCGGTCAGACCAAGGGAGTGCCAGTGAGGGAGACTTTGGCCTGCAAACGGCAAGAGAAAAGAGGCAGGACGTTGAAACCGGATGTTAGTCCGGGCAAAAGCCGAAATAACTATTCCAGCCATTGTGTAGACTATGCCACGGAATTCTCCGAACTGATCTCGACTCGAATGCCCAGTCTGACTCGCAGGTCTCTTGGCTACGGGATTTCAAACGCTGATATGGCACAAACAATGCGCCCAGCAACACCTGTTGGTGATCAGGAGGGGTCGCGGGCGGATAAACCCTTTGAAGTTCGTAAGTTGGCCAATGGGGTGCACCAGCCATTGTTTGTGGTGCAGCCCAATTCCTTCAAGTGGACAGAACCGAGAGCTGGAGTACAGCCACCGCAAAGCCAGTTGCCTCCTAGCACTCACACCTGCCTCAGAGCCTCAGATCCGCCCGACCTCAGCCAGCTGATAGCACCAGATGCAAAAGAAAAGGTCTTCCTCAAGGTTGTACACAAGCCCCGGAAGTCCAGTGGGTTAAAACCAATGAGGCAAATTGATCCACAAGTCCGAGAGCGACAGAAGCGGGCCTTCATGAAGAAGATTCGTCAACTGTCTGCTACGCGAGCACTATGCATGGATCAAGACGAGATGAGGGGGTGGAATATGAACAATTCTTGTGCCCTCACCTGTTCAAAGGCTGCCTGGAGGATGGAACCCCTGATGGAGATTCTTGCCAAATTTGCTCCCCTATGGAATTCAGGCAATTCCAATAAAACTTATATAGACCTCATCAGAAGGAAGAACGTACTCATGGAGAGGAGGAGTAGGATGAGGACTAACTGGCATGAATCGATCATTTATCGTAATAACTTTGTTTGGGATGAATTAGATGGTAGTATCCAACCGACCATTGCGGCCAGGTACCGTTCCATTTCCCGTGAAACGCATAACGCCCTTCCTCTTGCTCCAGAAGAAGACGAACATCTGGACCCTTCCCAGGCAAACGGCAACAAAGGAAGGATAGAACCCTTGCCGAGTGGATTTCGTGAGCTGTATGCTCGAAAAAGCCGCCTCATGGGCGGACTGTCTACATCTTCGCCAGGGCCCGGTCATGAGGCCCGTAGGACCCACACCGCAGGACTATCTTCAGAGCTAGTTGGACAAACTGACAAGGCTCCTGCCCAACGGAACGGCCAACCACAAATACGC